TAGTCGACATTTTTTTAAGACGTACAGTATACAAATTTTTGAATCATTTTAAGAAATGTTATTTTAAATGACAAAATGAATAATTTAAATGAAATCGGACAAGAGAATTTTCAGATACTTAAACCTTAGGATACAATGTACTTAATGTACTTATTTTAAATACATATTTTTTATAGTCGAAAATAATGTGGAGTATTATTATTTTCACATCTGTCAGTTAAACAGATGTTTAAGTAATAACTTCTAAAAAAACATACTGCTCCAAAATTAACTTCATTGTTTGTATGACCTCTCACTTGTTTTCTTTAAATGAGTGCCTGAAATTAATCTTTTTTGAAATGCTTAGTTTTTTTCAACAACTTTTTTATACGGGAGCCTTGCACGGTTTTTACATAAGCGGATTTGGGATAATTATGTTACGTAAAAAAGTAACGTTCCTTTTCTCTTGTGAGTAATTATTAAAAATGCTCTTTGTTTTGTCTGAGACAAAAAAAAATAGTTGAAAAATAATCTTTACTACTCTTTCCAACATCGGATTATCTGCAGTAAAAATGACTTAGAAAGTAAAAAAGAGGCCTAATTGAAAACGTTAAGCATGTTTTTTTTATCAGCATTGCAAGGAACAATTAAGGGGTAAGCAGCACTGGTTTTTTTTTCTTGAAAGTTCTTGAATTTTAATGGACGTCACTTCATTTTCTTTCGTGTTCTTATGAGAAAGCTGTTTCACATTATTTTTGACTCAACATCAACTTTTACACTTTTTTAATAACTAGGAAGTGTGTTAATGTACTAATGAATGCAGCAAAAGTTGGTTTGCAGTTAAGTTTGGCATATCAGAACCAGCAAAAAAAATTGACATATTATTTATGACTTCTTTTACAAATGCTTATTAGTTTCGAAATGGTAAAAATAATGAAGCATAATTGAAAAAAAGATCTGGAATCTATAATTAGGTACTTCCATAATCTGATGTGAATTGCATAAAATATGTTATGCAAACCATTGAGCTAACAATTCATTGAAAATCAATCTGTGAATGAGACCAAATAATAATTGGCAAGATATACTTAGGGAAGGTCACTTAATTTGATGTTGAAGTTGCCGCAAAATTAGTCAATTTTTAGCGATTTAGTCAATTTAAAAGGAATTATCTTTCACCACACGTATGCAAGACTATGAGAAAATACGCATCATTGAGCCATAATATCGATACTTAGAATTATTAAGGATTTCGACTCACGTTAAAGTTATTATCAAATAGTTCTACGCTCTTGAAATTTTTAACAGTTACTAAGTTACTAAGGACATGATTGGTTACTAAGTTACCAATTAGTTACTAAGGACGTGAAAAAAATATTCACGTTCTTTATGTCTTTTATGCCATATAGTCAAGTATGCCATATATGCCATATAGTCAAGTATGTCATATGTTTATGCCATATAGTCAAGTATACATAACGTTTTTATGCCGTTTCTTAAGTCTTTATATGTATGAAAAATTCTTCTTTTTATTTATGAAGCAACATAAACTTGATATTTTTGCACAAAATTCAAAAATGTGGGTAAAATATTTTAAGGTAGATATAATGAAATATACATTATTGATGAAATATTTTGCTTCTGTGAAATTATCTTGAACTATATTTGGTTTCAAATTGGATACGAACTTGCAGTCAACTGATATTTTGTTATTTATTATGTCTCATATGATTAAAAATAGTACAGCTAACATTTTTTTAACATATGTGTGTTTTTGTGAAGATAAAGATTTGTAAATTAATACTATTTTAAGAGATAAAAAAGAGCGTCACTGTAAAAATCGGATGTTTAAATTTCGCGAAAATTTCATCATTTTCGACGAAACTTTCATCATTTCCTGGCACCGAGCAAACATATCGCCAAAGTAACGAAATAACTATAGACACTTATTTGAGGAAATGAATTTCGTCAATACTAACGAATTATTTCATTATTCAATTTGTTTTCCTAAAAAAAAACCCTTGGTAGTGCCTAATGTATCTAATAATCACTTTATCGTGGGCACTATATACCACTTTATAGCACAAGAAAGACAAATAGAAAAAAAGATAAATTACACCCTTCCTGAAGCGGGATTCAAACTAGGGTTATTCCTGATACGAAACCAACTCCTTGACCACCATACAGGCCGATCCTTACAATGTTTTCGATCGTCTAGTCTTCCTTCCAGTTTTGTCATTCTGGTTAACGATTTCAAGATTCCGAGTTGATAAAACATTTTCGTTAGTTATTTGAGAGTTCCGGATTAGTCACAAATCACGTGAGTTCTTAGCGAAATAATTTTCAGAATTAACGAAAAATAGCTCAAGTATTGCTGAATCGTCAAAAATGAGAGTTTTAATTTTGGGAGTGCCTATTTTTATATGCAATTTTCATAAAAAAATATTTTACTTGCAGATTTTTATCTTTAATTAATAAGTAACATTTGAGGGACATTTATTTTAGTTTTGACACCTATTTCTAATTTTTATTAAAACAATATTATTTAGTTGCATCACAAACAAAAGTGTGCTCATTACTATCATATATCAAGAATTTCCTTTAAATTTCAAGATCTTATTTGTTTGAAATATTACTAAGAGCAAAAAGTTAAATTTTTTATTGAAATCATGTGTAACATTCCAGTTTTAAACGCAAAGTTCAAAATTAATTATTTCCTTTTAAAAAACTCTGTATGGTTATTACATTTTTTTAATTCACTAGTTTTATGTGCTCCATTTCATTCAATAAAATTAATTTCATGAACCAAACTAATTTAATTACTCGCTAAACACCAAAAAAATCAAGCCACTTTTTTAATTATGTGTAACTTTGTAACGAAAAGTGCACTTTGTAAGTAAATATTTAGTTTGGAGATAATTAATGACTAACTTATTTGAAAGGTAATATTTGCCAAAATAATTCATTTAGGTTATTAGACAGATAGTTATCTTAAAATATAAAAATTAAGAGCTTTAATTTTCAGATCAGTCAACTAAAACGCAGCAGACCATGCAAACATAATTCTTCTATAATTTAATTCTCTAATAATGAGGTACGTCATCAAATTAAACCTCTAACAACGAAATTTTAAATTCACCGAATTAGCCATACTTATTCATTGAATGAAGTATCCAATTAACAAATTACAAAGAACGCTCTCAGGAAAATGATCACCGTTTTGGGAAACATAGTTTTTCCTTATCTTTATTTTAAATTTGAGAAGAGTCCCTCTCATACGATAACTCATTAGATAAGGTAAAGAGGTTGGATCACCGTAGTAATTATTTGGGCCCTATTAATTATACAAACTTTACTATCCCTTTTCTTGTTTGAGATAAAGGGATCAATAACTACTTTTAAACTGAAGTACTTTTTTTTTAAAATCTCTATAATTTATGATTTAACAAACACGAAAAGTTTATTTTAGTTTATGTTGTAGTATTCAAGATGGTTTAGTTCTGCTAGTATAAAAAATATGTCCATTATAAATATTTGAAATGGGTATTATTAAGCTTGATAACGTTAAGTTTATAGAACAGATTTTTTTTAACCTTTATGCTTTTATACGAGAATCATATATGCACAATATATTTAAAGCTAAATACTCAGAATAGTTTTACAATTTATATTGACTTGAAAACACTTTCTAAAATTTATTGTAGAAAGACTTAACACTTAATTATTTCCTTTTTTTAAAGGTATAATATAAATAAAATTTGATTAAGCTGGAGAATTATATGGAAAATATAGATTTTTGGTAAATACTGCTTAATCAAACCAGTTGGACTGATTAGAAATGTTTGGTTGCAGGGAAAATATAACCGGAAAAATGTTTTCCAGAAAAAAAAATCCCCGAGGAAAAAAAAATCCCTAGGAAAAAAATTTCATATAAAAATAATTTTTTTATTTTATTTGAAAATGCACATATTTTTTAATGTATGTACATTTTTTTAAAAATTTAATTTTTGTTAAAAATGCATATATAAAGAAAGACTATGGATGTAAGTTATTAATTTTAATTAAGAACAAACATATTTCTTAATTATTTACTTTTTTTTATTTCTAATTAGTTTTATTTTCAAATTTAATTCACAAAAATAAATTTCTTTCTAAAAATTACTAAGAATTAAATTTATAAAAATTAAATTTCTAAAAATTTCTTTCTAAAAATTAAATTTCTTTCTTAAAATTAAATTTTTAATTTATTAGAAATGTTTGGTTGCAGGGAAAATGTAACCGGAAAAATGTTTTCTAGAAAAAAAATCCCTAGGAAAAAAAAACTCATATAAAAATAATTTTTTTATTTTATTTGAAAATGAACATAATTTTTAATAAATGTAATTTTTTTTTAAATTCAATTTTTGCTAAAAATGCATATATAAAGGAATACTATGAAAGTAAGTTATTAATATTAAATTAAGAACAAACATAATTCATAATTATTTACTTATCTTATTCCTAATTTAGTTTTATTTTCACATTTAATTCACAAAAAATAAATTTCTTTCCAAAAATTATAAATTTTTAATGTGGATGTTTTTGATATTTTTCTAGGTTACGACAAATAGATTTCCTGAAAAATTTCTTCCGGGCACTTTATTTTTCTTTTTTTCCCCTGAAATATTAGTAATTATTATCAGTTTGTAATCTTATAATCTTTTTTCATCTGAAACCAGAAGCATATGAGTATGAATATTACTTTTGCAGACAATTTTGTAGTTCTTTAGAGTATGACCGTTTTATTTCTTGCAACTTTAGAATGCGAAAAAAAATTCGATTGATTGTTTCATTTTTTCACAAGAAATTGCTCATGATTTTTAAGCTTACATTTTTTTAAAAAATAATTCTGACATCATGAATCAGAAATGTCAAAATGTGTATACCCCCACGATGCATTTTAATGCTTTCATAAATTTATTCTAGAATAAAAACCTTGAGGCTACTTCGATGATGAAAGGGAATAAATAAATAAAACTTACTGTAACTACAAATGGAACATTATTCACCAACTCCAGAATAACGTTGGAGGATAAAAGCTGTTGCCACACATTTCCCTAAAACAAAGAAATTATTATTTTCAGAATTGGTTTCAATTGTCTTGTGAAATAAAATAGTAATGATTGCAGTTTTAAGTGTTGAATACTAGTTAAAATATAATAATATAATATTTATTATTATGATTTGAATTTATTAAGATTTCTCAAAATATTTAAATTGCATATTATGTATAAATGTAATCAAACGATATGATATATCATATCAGTAATATGTCAGTTAATATGTTTAAATGTAATGCACAATATTAAAAAAATTACCTCAGTAAAGACAACTGAAAATTATAAACATCGATGGTTAAATTTTTACATTTCGAATTCGAAAACTGTTAATTATAGCAGATTTTATAACAATAATGTTAGCAACTTCACCATTTTCGTCAATTATTTTGATAAGTTATGTTTGGTTATTGATATCAACTTTATAATTCTAATCTTTCTCTATCACAAAAATAGTGCCTTAATATTTAATGTCTGGTCCTTATAAACTGCCATGTCTGTAAGAGCATTCGAGTTTAAGATTATATACATTTTTAACAAGAAAAATGTTTTAGTCTTTCAAACTTTTCCTATGTGTATAAATATAATTCCCATGTGTATTTTTCGAAATGTGGAATTTTTCTGGGAGTAAGGGGCAAGAACCAAAGAGTACAGTGGATAAGGAGGTTTTAAGGATCATGTTTTATTCTTGATGGACAATATTAAAAGTTTACAACAACTCCACAAATCTTTTTCCTCGAATAACTATTCTAATTATATTTTATGGAACTTTGGTTATGACATTATATTTTAATCATAATGCACTTTCATTTCCAAATTTAAAATGATTGAATAATAATGTAATATAAAATTGAAACTAAATTTAGCTTTTTTAAAATAAACAATGTTCTAACAAATTTATAATTATTAAATGCAGTACAAATTATCAGCACATTTATTCATGGCAATTTAAATATTTTTATGTAACCATTATATTAATTAAGCAGTAAATAAAGAATAAAAAAACATTTATTTTTACTTTAAAAAGTTTAGATCTTGAACAGCATTTTTTTCTTTCGTTTCAATAGTGACATCAATATGACCAAAAACGGAGAACATTAAATTGTCATTACGGTTATCTGTCAAACGTTTAAACTAAGGATAGTATCTTTAGATAAATTTGTCTACCTCAAACGTTTGAAAATATACGAAAATGATATATTAGAAAAAAGACCCAATAGTTTCATACTTACGCTGAGAAAAAGTATTGTCAAAATTGCAAAATATGGTAAAATTCATCGTGTTTCTGAATATCTGTGAAAGCCAAAAAGCTTGGTAATTTTTACCGAATCACTTTTGCAATGATTTTGGCAAAATTAACAATAAAATATGAGTTTTTAATACATGATAGAAATTGGTAAATGTGGTAAAACTTGGTAATTTTATCATGATACCACACAGCATGGTATGAAAACCGTTCTTTTTGCTAAATTTACTTTACAGTTTTTTATTTTATATCAAATGTATGGTAATAAGAACTATAGTTTTGAAAATCCAAGTTTTCGGTACTCTGTTACCATATAAAAGGAAAACTTATCAAATGAATGGTTTAAATACTGTATATTTTGGCTTTATTAACCGGAATTTTTTTTATATCAAAAATGTAATTACCATACAGTGAGATAATTTTTTTTATGTCTGTGCAGTTATCGATGTAAACTGAAGATTGATGTAATTTTTAAACTCTCTGATTATTTAAAATAATTTAGTAACAAGTAGAATAAATATGCTTGACTCATATTCCATTATTTATGGAAGTGTTATTAAAAGGGAATGCTTGATTATAAATCCTTTAGGGAATTGCCTATTTATTGAAGTCCTTTAAATGTCTTGAGTTCCAAAATGTTTTGCAATGCAACGTGTATCAGATTTGATATTTTAAAATGTATAATTGTGACCTAGTTAATATTTTTTTACGCGTAAAAGCCTAATGAAACAATTTTATGTCCCACTTTGTTGACAATTGTCTAAGTATTGTTTTTTACTTATCTTAAGCATCGTATTCATATATTTTTTATAAAAAATATAAAAGTCGATTTCTTTTTTGCCTTAACAATAGGAGACAACTGTAATAAGATCACAGTTAAATTCCTCTAAAAATGTTTTTATATTTTATTTTAATAATGTGTTTATTCAAGAATATTTTCCTCTAAATATTGGTTAAAAGTTTTGGAACTAAGGCAGATTTAGCACAGATTACATTGTCACTTTTGATGTATTAGAAACGAATTAAATATGCCTATTATAATAGGCTCAAAAACAGCTAACGTTTTCACTAAATTTGATTAAACCTTCACTACCATTTATATTGCGTGCCATCGGGCTAACCATGGGAGGTTTTCGTGTTTTTCGTTTCCATGTAATGCAAAACACAAATTAGTTCCGTCTGAAAGCCCTCCACTATGGATAGCTTGCCCCAATGGTTGATCCAGAAGTTTGTTGGTCTTCTTGGTTGAATTCAAAACTACAAAATTACACAGTCGAACATTAATCGTCGTACTAGCTATTGGGTCGAGTGTTCAACACCGGTTATGAAATGAAATAAAATAAATATCGAACTATTCTGGGAGGTTAGCAGCTAGAATTAAACCAATGATGATTTCCATCTAGAATCAGTCTCCAGTTGGAATTGTGTTGCTCATGGTAAGAAAAATCTTTGCTCGTTGGAATGCGACTCCGTGTGACTCCATCTCACTCCATCTGGAAGGATCATTCCAGAAAGTTCATGATACGGGTCATTCAGCTCCCTGTACGGGATATTCATTGTTTGTTGTTTTGCAATTGTCCCAGTAACAACTTTATATCGATTGTAATATTCTTATTCAGCAACCCTACATAATTGTGGGAGGCTTAATTAAACGTGAAATTTTTTGTTTTGGAATTCCCGAGTTCCACAGGTTCCGTTTTTTATTGGTTTTCAAATTCAATCAGTCATTTTTGGGGCACCCTATATTCTCACAAGATTGTCGTATATCTGTTATTTTTATAAAATAATTTTATTATACATTATTTCTATCCACATCCTAATGATTCTTGCTTTCGTTTCGCAAATACAACTTTAATAACTCTTATGTGTTGTATCCTGTTGCAATTATAAATTATAGTGTAACTGAATAAAAAAAATGGGGGCGACTACTTTACACCAAGTAAGAACAGAAGTATAAAAGAAAGTTCTTGGTTGCCTGTGTAGAGAAGTATCTAAATTCTAGAATTATGTAAGGCATTTCACTGCACCACCTTGGTGAGAAATAGTTTCCACCATTTTGGTGTCGAGTTACACTAAAATCGTTTACAGTGTGCCAAAGCAAAAATCGTAATAATTAATAAAATTTAATTGAAAATTATTCTGGCATTATAATTAATTTTTACCTAATATAATTTATATATTGTACTATTAATATTATAAATATTTATTATAATCATTTACAATAAAAAGCGTAATTATCATTCTGTGTTAAAGGAGTGAAATTAAATACTATGATGTTACTAATAATAATCGTGGGATATTAATATTAGTAACATTATTAATATCTAAACATTATTTTCACGTAAACGAAATATTTTATGGTAGTTTTTAGTTACTACATAATATTTAGTAAATATATAAAATTTAACTTTTTACTTGTTTATGCAGTGAATCTGTTGTACTAATCTTTTAATGCTTTTTATGTAAAGCATTTTCTCATATTTTCTCGTTAACATAAGCATTTACTATAATAAAAGAAGTGATTACAAATGATAGTAAATATAGAGGACTGACATTTTGTTCTTTTGTTGTAAATTGTTACGTTGCACAATCTAGGAAACTTAAAATGTGTTTAATAGTTAACGAAGAATAAACAATAACTCACTGCATTTTTGAGCATAAAATTGTAAAATCATGAAAACTGCCTTTCTTAAGAAAAGCTTATTTGGTAAAGCAATTTATTTCACCCTGATTGAATTCCATAAAATTGTTATGGCAATAAAACTGCATTTGTTTTAAATTTCATTTTCGAGAAAGTGGTTACCGAGAAAAGTAATTTAGATACCGAGAAAACAATTTATCCATATAAGAATCGGAAAAAAAATCGTTATGCGTTTTTCTCATCGTTGAGGAAAATAAGCAAAAAGTTAAATAGTTTTAGAGAAATGTAATGCAATAAAAATTTTAATCTATTTCAATTTAATAATTTTAGTTTTTCCAAGAAAAAGTGTTTTTTTTCCTTCAAGAAAGAAACAGAGACGAACAGAATGAACAAGGTAATATTGATTTTAATTTGTTAATTTCTCTACAGTTAATTTTGAATTAATTTCTCTATCGATAAATATAATCTCTGTTAATGTTATTAAAATTATATTAAACCCCATAGTTGTTATTCAGAAAAATAATTTATATTGATCAATAAAAAGCACATTATTTTTTTTTATCTCACCTTATATCCTAAGTAAGCAATGAGTAAGGCCTCTAATAAACTAATGACAGACAGTGACACCTGTAACAATAAAAATAAATAATTCAGATTTCAAACAACAAGGATTTAGAACAATGATAAGAAATTACCCCTTTTAAAACACCCGTTGAAATATATAAGAAATAACTATTTAAAGGTAAATAAATTGCATTGCAATCTTAAAAATAATGCCATAAATAAACATGTTTTGGTTAAAAATTTAATGCAAGTTTATTTAAAACTTTAAAGAGGCTCTTGGACAAAGAAAAAGTAAGAATATAATGATTGAGATTAAAATGATTTTTTAGAAAATAAATAAAATTAGATTTCTTTGAAATGGGGAAAATATTGTAATTATCTTAATTAAAACAAAAGTGTACGCGAAGATTTTAGAGTTCTTACTAAATCATTAAATGAAGTAATTATTTCAAAAGGATGCATGCGTATTTGATAAAATTCTATTTAAAACAACTTATTTATTTAAAACAACTTTTAGTAAACATAACAATAAAATAGTTTTTTCTTAATTTTGTTGGTTAGAATTATTGAACATTTAAATGTACTATTGTCTGTACATTTTGAAAATTAGCCACGTCGAATGAGGGGTATTGTAAAGTAAACATGGCAAAGGACTGAACCCGAAACCTGCTGGTAAGTACAGCAGTATATGTTTCTATGATAAATGTAATCCCTCGCCATGAAAGACTGTCTCATTGAACGAAATGAGTGAGGTAAAAATGAAGTGCTTCCATTTAGTCAAGGAGCATAAAGAGAATAAAGTCAAAGATAATAAAGAAAAACACTAACGTTTAACAATTTGGGTGGAGAGTAAGAGCTGTGGTAGTGTCATCAAATTATAAAATTATATTTTTTCATTAAAGTGATATGTGCTGCATCCTAGCATGTATTTGTACAGAAATAGAAAAAAATTAGTTAGACCTAAAAAATTGTAATAATGTCAGAATTAAGTTGAATAACTTTTAATAAAAAGAAAATTATTAATATGTAATACAACAAAGTTAAAAATTAATAAAATAAAGCAAATTAAATAAAATAAAATAAAACAAAGCTAAAAATAAATAAAATAAAGTAAATTAAATAAAATAAAATAAAATAAAACAAAATAAAATAAATAAAATGAAATAAAATAAATAAAATGAAATAAAATGAAATAAAATAAATGAAATAAAATAAAATAAAACAAAATAAAATAAAATAAATAAAATGAAATAAAATAAATGAAAATAAAATGAAATAAAGTAAAATAAAATAAAATAAATAAAATAAATAAAATAAATAAAATAAATAAAATAAATAAAATATAAATAAAAATAATGTAGAGCAGAAAAAAAACATTTGGGATCAACCAGGAGATCTTTGAAAATGATTTCTACATTTTTCCATTGTTAAAAGAAAAGTTGTTGGAAAAAGAATGATAATATTTCATTTACAATATGGTCAGATTAAGAATATTATTACTTTCATATGTTTTGAAAACTCTATTTAAACGAATAAAAAGTATCTTAAAAAATGAACAGAGCAAATTCGAAGCTTCCTCAACATAAACTTGATAATGCCTTCTACAAAAAATAGTTTTTGCAATACTTTATATCTTTTAAATTTCTCAGGAAAGGTTTTTAAATGTTCCATCTGTTGCAGATAAAAAAATTTTTTTTAGAAACTTTTTAAATATTCATTTTGTTGAAAGATAAAAAGCGTCATAACTAAAACAATAAAAAGCATCAATTGTTTAGATTGATTATATTTCTATCTTTAAATTGAAACTTCACTTGCGATGTTAGAATAATTTAGATTCTTAAACTCTCTAATCGTTGGAGAAAAACTGTATTTTTTCACAAAAAAGATTTCTTTTATAAATATTTTTAATAATGCAGAGAATTTCAATATCATGTACTAACCTATGAAAAATCACAGAAGTATTGTATGGCACTATTCTTGAGGGTTTTTACTTTCTAAAACTTTTAAAAAGTTCAACAATTTAAAGTTGAAAGATATTGAAATTTAAAGAAATTTAGCTTATGTAAGTGGAATATTTTAGAATTATGGGTATTAAAATTACTTTTAAGTTTCAATATTTTATAAAATCAACTTTTAGACTTGTAAATCTATGATTTAGTTTTACTCTATCTAGAATTAATAAAAAAAAAAAAAAAAAAAAAAAAAAAAAAAAAAAAAAAAAAAAAGAGAAAGTTAAACGCCCTTCTTCAACATTTTTCGTCATGCATTACATAGAAATGAAATATTTACATTGTATAAATGAAACATAAATATTTTTTCGGATTGAAAATGAAATTCAAAGTAAGGAAAACATATTTGAATAAATTTAAGCGAAATTCCATTTATTCACGCATTTTGATGTTGTGATGCTATCAATATTTAATGCAGTATGTTTTAGATACAAAGCATTACAGAAAAACTCATATCATAAATATTGCTTGGAATTTTGACTACATTTTATTTTTGATTGAATTTAAAAGAATTTTAATAAAAGATAAATGTGCAAATATTAGAAACTCCAACTTTATTTTAATTCGTACTTGAAGAATGTAAGTGAATATCAGTTAAGTATGTTTCAGATAGAAGAGCTTTATTAATTAACATATTTTTTAAATTCGTTCCCGTGCTTCAGGTTCTGGGTTCGATCCTCGGGCCGGGCAAGGTTGACTCAGCCTTTCATCCCTTCAGTGGGTCGATAAGTGAGTACCAAGCATGCTAGGGAACTAAACACTGGGGGTTTCGCATTCGGCTGACCACCTATAGTGCTGCTTTTAGGAGAACTCCTCCAGACTGACCACCTATAGTGCTGCTTTTAGGAGAACTCCTCCAGACTGAAAATCTGGGGCTGTCTGCTGCTATGGTAACAAGCGAGAACACATTTCTAATGGGGGTGAAAAGAAGAAAAGAAGGTGTTAATTGGTTTACTCACGACGACCTACGCTAAGATTAAGACAAAACTATTCACCCCACACCCCAATTCGAAGTGACCTTTTCTCGTAACCATAGTACCCGCCACGACGCGAGACGGATGTCTGGAGGAGTTCTCCTGAAAGCCACACTATAACCGGAACATCTGCTCCTACATCCCAGAGCCCAAGGTCAAGAAAATTGAGATGGGCACAGTAGGCCTTGGCCCTCTATGAGCTGTCACGTCACTGAGTTTAGTTTTTTTCTTAATTTTTTAAATTAATAAATAAAAGATTGAGGAAATTACTTAGTATATTCAATATTTCAATTCGTTGCACTTTTATTATGAGAAAGAACATTATTTTCTGGAAATCGAGTCGAAATATGTTCTAAACTTGTTTATTACACTGATTATTAAGAAAACTGGATTCTATTTTCTTTAAAAAGATAAAAATGCATACATAGACCGAAAAGGAAAAAAAATTTAATTGACTTAAATCAGTTCTATTTGCAGAAAAGTGTTTTTACCTAAAATTTGAAAACTAATTTTTAATCTCCTAAAAATGTATCATAAAAATTTGACAATTCTTTGAAATATTTCTGAGTTTTTTATCTCAGAAATTTTTTTTTAATATCTAGCAGCAACAATTGCAGTGTTTGTAACTGTTCTCTAGTCCTCTTGTATCTATCGTAGATGTAGATGTACATACCGTAGATGTTAGAGTAGATGTAGTTCCTTAGTGTTCATCAAAAACCCTCCTTGCTCAAAATATAGTTTTGAGTACCCAGAGTCTATGCTAGGTGTCCAGAAAGACAGTCGTACCTAACTTCCAGCAGCAACCGAAAGTAATTTCCGAATGTAAACCGAATGTAATCTCGGGAGATGTGGGGTCTTTTTGTGGGATCTCTTTTTTTTTTTAACTAGATGAGCCATCTCATTTCCATTAATACCCAAGCGAGAGGGTATCTATTGTAATACTGTACCTTTTCTTAAAGACAAAAGCAACCCAAGATTCTCCTTACAGCTTTTAACTGTATGAGAGTCTTAAAAATCCAGACATGTTATTGCTTGGATTGCTGTGTTGGTGTCATGAAATATAATATTGAAGTATATATTTTAAATATGACATTTGGATAGTATAAGTTGATTAAAAAAGTTCCGATTTTATTTTTGTAAATCCTCACGCGGCAAATTTTTTCATTTAATTTTTATTAACAGTAAACTAAAAAAATCTCTTATCTTTTTCATATAAAAAATATATTTAGCCCAGTTCATTGTACACAACATGGTATCTGTAAAATTCTTCCAATAATTAAGCACTCAGTTTTGAAATAACACCAAATGTTAATTAATTTTCAAGTAATAGCATTGCTTTTTAATTTAGTAAAAAAGGATTCCGATACGAGCGCAAAGGGATGAAAGTAAAATGCATTAAAAACATAAAGTTCATCGTAAAATTGGAAATATTTATTGAAAGTAAATTAGTGCTTTTAAGGCAATTACCAAAATACCAATAGTTATTATATTTAGTTATATAGTAATGAATATGCCAAAATTCTTATGAAAGCATCTACTATATTTTTCGTGTCATATATCATGATATTGGAATTTTGACATGCTTAAAATCTCAGATAATGACTCCCCTAATAGTTTCAGCCATCCAAAACCAGAAAACAATCATTATCATTTGCTGTTATTTTTGCCGCGAGTTTGCGTTTAGGCCAACCACACCCTAGTTTAATTAAGCAGCTCAAAGTAATCGCTTTCGACTCTACGTCAAAGGCAGTTTTGTAAGGCCGATTTGAAGTAAAAAGCAATCACTTCAAATGCACCAATAACGTCCTTTTCAATTTCGTTAAAGAACTGAAATAAGGGGTCGTGTTGCTGGGGAATGGACCGTCACAGTGTCTCGAATAATTTGTATCAATATTTGTAAAGGAATTTGTGTACCCTGCTTGGGTATGCATGAGTAAAAAAAGTTGATTTGGTGGTCGCTTCTTGGAAGCATTTTTTTTTAAAGTGTTTCTTTTTTTAAACATTTTTATTCAAATTTCTGTTACGCTTAGCAACCCGAGCGTATAAAAAGTCATTTATTTGCTAAAAGGGTTGACTTCATTTGAAGTTTTTTTCATTTTATCGATCAAAATGCAGAAAAATAGTTTCTGACAAATTTTTGCGTCTTTTGATCATTTCTTTGGCTTATAGTAAGCATTTACTTGCTGTCAATATCGAAGATATCAATATCGAAATAAATAATTTTATATTATATTATTGGAAATCATTTAAGATATAACTGTAAATATTGTCCAAATTATCTTATTCTAACTCAATAATCTATGAAAAAGTTTGAAAACAATTGGATTTATTTGTCGTGCGACATGCATTGTTTTTTTTCTGGAATTGAAATATTGAAGTTACAGAAGTGGATGTTAATAAAACACAATTTGGAGGATGAAACTTATACATAAACCAGCCAACATAACTATTAGCACTTTTTTTTATTTACACACTCAATGATATCTCTGTCATTCCCTTCTTTATTTCTTAGATTATTTATCATATTCTGAATATATTAATGAAAAGTTTTTGTTAGTTCTCTCATAATTACTGACAAAAAGCTGATGTTCAAAATAGAGAGATTTCAAAGAGTTCATGAAAGTTTTTCTCTGTTAGTTTAAATGTTTTATGCTCCGTTTTTCAATTTTTTAAAATGTTTTTAAAGGCAATCATATTAGTTATATATTTAAGTTCATTGCTTGCATCAATTGAGATATTTCATGTTGACTTTGAGGAGTAGAACTAACCACAATTCTCTTACTTTTTATTAAATTTTGTTTGCAAATACAAATCTTTTTTAAAGATATGCCAACCTAAAATAACCTTTGACTCTTGAGTTTAACGTATCCTTGCCATAAGTTTCATCCGAATATAGTGTTTTACATTTTGGGTAGGTAGCATATGTTTTATTTAAAACTGTTTTTTCGTTTAATTTGACCTATAAATGTGAAGTTATTCTAACCCACATTACAAAGAGAGCATTTTACACAAAGAGGAATTAATGCACATTTTTCTATATTGTTTGTACTGTCGCTTATTTATTATGTTTTCTCTTATTTCAATTCCTATTTCACATAAGAACAACTTAGGTACAGATAAAGCTCATTTTTGATTTTTAAAACGTGAATGACTTATAAGAGTGACATATATTTTACTTAGTTAATAACAAAGGGCAGGCAGACACATAATTTTTTTAAAGATCCCACACTAACTCGCCTGCAGTCAAACTTCTATTTAAACCAATTCTTAACGGGTCACGGGGTTTTCGGAATATATCAACATAAATTCTTCAATAAACGAGCAAATTGTAAATTTTGTGGCAGAGTACAAGACATTGACCATCTCGTGAAATTTTGTCCCAAATTCCAGACGATCCGTGGCAGAAAATGGGATCAATACACTCAACATCAACTTTATGCTGATATTGACTGCAGGGAGAAAATCATCGAAATTCTTAAATATACCCTGGATGATCTGCTTGCCCCTGCGAGTACACCTGACTAATTTTTATCTGGTTTTATTTTTAAACTTTCGGTTTTAAATTTCTGCTTTTAGTATTTTACTTCGGCACTTACCGTTTCCATGAATTTATTCTCCCCTTCAACTGGCATCTTCATTATGCATGGGACATTCGAAATGAAATCTTGCTCTTGGTCAAATTCTGCACCCTCTGTCTTACCTGGTGTCATCTTTGAGTGTTATCCTCTCAGTGAAACTTTGGTTAACCTTAGAACTTTTTTAATCTTAGAGGCACTTAGCCTTGAAAGGGAGACACTTGAACTTTTAGTCTACTATTTTATTTATTCTACTAAGCTTATTTTAGTCTTATTTGTTTTTTAATGTGATTTTTCATATTTTACCATTTGATGTTTTACCTGACCTTACTTTTATATGTTTTTACCTGTATTTTTGACACTGTATTTTGACACTTTTATTGTTGGTTGATTTTATCCACCTTGATGTTTTAAGCACTTTTAACTTTTATTCTGTTTTATTTTTATTTTACTTTTTCGATTTTGGGATTTTTCCTATGTGTTTTAATCTTTTTAATTTTGTACTTTTACTTTTCTGTAGTTTGGTAGTGTTTAGTTCACGTGCAAACGGGTGAAACCCTTATCCGCAAACTCCTTCGGGGGTAGGTCGGTTACTATTGGTCTTACTTAGTTAATAAATTCATTTTTTTTCTGTAAAAAATAAGGTAATTATAGCCATAAGAATGATGATTTCTATTTCTTTTTGAGGTAAGAAATTGTTTTTATTTACCTGAACACTCCATAAAGGTAACGGACGGTCTACCCATAGAATAGCATTCCTGCAAATAAATAATCACATTGAATTAAAAAACAATTATTTAAAAAAATGATGACTAATACTTAAAATTTGTTGTTTAAACAACTAATATAATTCATAAGTCTTATACATAGCTATATCTTTCCATATTGGTTATTTTGAAAGAAAAAAAATTATTTGAAGCTGTGTTTTTAAATATTGTAATATATAATCCAAATAAATAATTATTTATTAATATTAAATAAATAATCCAAAAAAACAGAAGCTAAAATTAATTCCTCCCCAGTCACATCAGCCTCTCCTGATAACCTGGAATCGTGTTTCATTGATATGAATGCTGATTCCCTTATAACAATATTAATATCTCACCCGCGTGGAAATGCATTTTACCATGATTTGCATGTCTCAGTCACTGTAATTTTATTTGTTCTGTTTTTCAACTTTTTGTCTCTCTGCAACTGTGGTTTTTCCTCCACCTTTATTTTTCTATTTTTCATTGGCAACTTTACGTTTTATATTTCAAATTACTTTTGTTTCTTCTCACTCTCGCCTGTTTCTGAGCTCTTGAAACATAAAGTTTTTGATCAAGTAATATTATAACCTGTGCTACTTTTTAAAATGTTGTAATACATGATACTGTAATACGTTTTTACAAGTAATTTCATATATTTAAAATTAATGAATTAAAATATCTTATAATTTTTTTTGCTAAGCTTAATTATTTAATACGACATTTTTATGAATAATTAACTTTTCTTATTAATATCAATCAGTGACGTTTTAAGAGAAAGGTAAATTGCTATTTATTATCCTTAAATACCTTCACACGTTTTAAAGTAGAGTTCAGATGCAATTTTGCATAAATATTCTTCACAAAATTGCATCTAATTATTTGCCAAATAGAGACTTAGTAAACAGAGACTAGCCAACTAAACATCTCTTACTTGGAAACCCAGCCAAAGCTTCTGCCACAGTCCATAAAGATGAGTCAACAGATCACCTTCCAAAATATTTTACTTTTAAATGCTGGTATCAAATTATATTAAAAATATTTAGATCTTTTACAATATAGATATCAGTTTACTGCCATCACTATAAATGAGTTCTTTTTAACATGTTTTATGTTTATCTTAAGCAGAAGTAAGGGATTATTTTCAATGGTAATTTTTAAGTTATAAAATATATGTTAATTTCTTGTGCGTCATTTTGAAGTGTACAGTGCGCAAAATTAAAATTAATGTACACCCTGAATAACTTTTGATCTAACGATCAGATTTTGACGCACTGGTACTTAATTTTAATGCTTTGAGGGCCTTAAATATGTTAATTAATATGTGCATATGATATTTAGAATTACAAAACCATACGAAAAAAAAACGTGCTTTCGTTGAATAAACATAATATTTCATCGGATTTAGATTTGATATCTTTTAAATATACGATGTAGCTGTATTCTGAAAGATATAGCCCCAATAGTTAGGTCAGGAAAGTGGTCGAAAGTTTGGACACCTCAATGTCAATTTTAATTTCTACGTTTTTTGCAGTAACCCGAGAACTTTTAAGCTGAATCAAAGAGTTTTTACATACAATTGCAGAGTTCATTTATTCAAAAAAATAATAATAATAAATCTATACAGAAAATAATTTTTATAATTATTTATTATTTTTTTTAATTTAATAATAGTTGAAAAAAATTTAATTGTAAGGTACACAAATAAGTAAGACCTACAAGCAAAATACATATGAGTATTAATAATTGTAAGGCTTTTCATCATTTTAAAGAATGATTTTGTAAAGTTAAATATGAAACTTGTACAAAATTGGTTGAATAGTTTATGAGAAGAAAAATTTAAATTTAAAGTATGCAACTTTTGTTTAAATTTGATACATCAGAAACTAATCAAATAATTGCTATTAAAATTTGTAAAATTTCAAAGTCTATGATGCATTTTAAACAATATCATTTTGCGATATTTTGTGAATTTATCATGCATGAATACAGTTAATGTTAGCACTTGACGAATTATTAGTACTCCCTTCCTCTACCAAAGTAAAATATTACTTTAAATTAAAAACATTTATTATAGTAGCAAATATCGAAATATTGTTGAAAATGATAAATATATAAAATAATTTGAATCCCTAATTTCTCGGAATCAATTATAATTTTTAAGTCTTATAATTGTATTCCTATTTATTCTTATTATTTCTTTATTTTAATATTTCATTTAGACTTCAGAAAAATCAATTGAAAAATCCTTTCGCTTATAACCCTTGTAATTTTCCATTTACAAATTGCCAAGTTCAATTGTAGAATGACGAATTGTTATTTGCTCAACTATTGAAACTAAATCAACCAATAGATTCGTTCTGAGAAGTAGGGGAGAGTGGGGTCAATTGTAACATTTTTTACTTAACTATTTTTAACTAACAAAAAATCCAATATATTATTAGTATTTATTGGCAGACGTGTAAAGTAGACTATCCTCTACTAGAAGAAAAATAAATACCTGATTTTAAATATTATTATATTAGTTATTAACAATTTTTGACAGTCGTGCACTTGTTACAATTGTCCCCACTTACGGGGTCAATTGTAACAGTTCATAAATTCAACTAAAACATAGTTAAATATACATATTATCATAGTTGTGATATATTTTTTTATTGATCAAAATAGTAGTGATATTTTAGGAGTAAAAATAATAATGAGCAGAGACCTAAAGGGTTAAACTTTTAACTTTAAGGGGTTAAAAATTTTAATTTATGCTGTGAAAGGTGACAAATAAAATAATGCACATGCAACATAATATAAATGCTATAGGAAACTATTGGTGGTTCTTAAAGCGTTAAGTAATGGTTTGTAAACATAAGATTATTTATTTTCAATTGTTACAATCGTCCCTTTACTTATTGTTACAATTGTCCCCAAGACGCCATTTCAGCTTCATTTGTTAAAAACAATGCTAGTTATTTAGCAAAACTAATCTTTTTTTTTATTGAAATGTTAATTAAGGTGTCCACTTACATATTCGGTTACTAATTTTTATTTGTTTAAACAAAATTACTTTGTTACAATATAGTATTCTAATACCAAAAAAAGTACTTGCGTGGCGTGAAAATATCTTTTGTAATGTAACTCTTTCAAAAGTACATAAAAATGGTTGCCATCAGGGGTGTACATGTAGATTTGTTAAATACACCTTGTGCGCCACCTGGGAACCAAATCTAGAACCCAACAGTCGAAATTTTTGCTCTGTTACAATCGTACCCTGTTACAATTGACCCCACTCTCCCCTACTGTTTTTAGAATGAAAAGGTTGAGCAAATTTTCCTTCATGTTTAGGCTAATAATTTAAAAAATTCAGAATAAAAAAATTTAAATATTATTAAAACAAAATTTAAAAAAAATCAGCAAAAAAGTTGTGATCGCCTTATTTACGATCACTGGTTACCCATTGGTCAAATGCTTTTTCTTTCTGGATTGATTCCGTTAAACGCCACAGCATTTCAAATCATGGGTTGCAAAAACTGTCTCAATGGATGTTTGTAGTCGGATTGATTTTGATTTTCATGTCCTGCCTATGTACGCGTTTCAAGATGTCACAAAATACGTTTTCTTCTTCAGCATTCATATTTATATTAAAATCACCATCAAGCCAATAATTATACGTTATTAATAAAATAATACTAAAATACTTTAAATTATTATTATGTAAATACATTAAAAATGTCTGCTCGTGAAAATAAAAAGAAAAACAGCAGCGGTTCCCATAGCAAAACATACAATAACGACGCATACGCACTGTTTACTATTACTCTTGAACACAGTTGAAAAGTGTGTATAGTACGGCTTTCAAGAGAACTCCTCCAGACACCCGTCTCGCACCGTAGCGGGTACTATGGTTACGAGGAAAGGTCACTTCGAATAGGAGTGTGGGGTGAATAGTTTTGTCTTAATCTTAGCGAGGGTCGTCGTAAGTAAACCAATCAACACCTTTTCTCCATTTCACCCACATTAGAAATGTGCTCTCGCTCGTTACCATAGCAGCAGACAGCCCCAGTCTTTCAGTCTGGAGAAGTTCTCCTCAAAGCCGCACTGTAAACGCCATCAAATCCAAACCAAGACTCATTTTGCCAATGGGTAATAATAACATCAACAATTCTTGAAATCAAAGTATATGTAGATTTTTTCTCAGTATTGTTAATAGAATCTGTTATCATTAATAGAATTTATCAATTAATGCAGGTGTTGACTCAAAAGTGAAAAATTAGAAGAAGAAAAAATTAACTTTCATATATTATAAATTCAAATCGTTTAAAATTTAGTTAAGTCCAAGTGAATAAATTTGAGTCAATAAAATTTATTTAGTCTGAGTACGGAAACGAGAATGGATGAAATCTAAAAAGGAATGTGACAGAGTAATTAACTAAAGTTCAATAATATGGACGATTTATTCTAGAGCTATTATATTTATAGCTATTTTAATATATTTATTAATATTTGTTATTATATTTATCTCTGTTTTATTTTTATGTCTATATATTTATTCTTATTTTGATATTAAAGTTATTCTTATTTTTTCATGATTATTTTGTTTTATTTATTCCTATTTTCTTACTGCATTTTTTCCTGTTTTATTCCTATTTCATTATTATTCTTTTCTTACTTCGCACTTTTTTTATTCCACTTTTAACTCTCACGTTTCGAAAGTTAATTAGGTTGCAAATTTCACTGCTACATATACATACAATACACACTTAACATTTGACTAGCATGATACATTAAATGAATTAAGGAAAAGTTTAAACATGCAATCGCTTTTAGTTAGATCATTAAAAGTTTTGACAACTATGCCAACATTTTCTCATTTCAATATGAGTAACAGTACATATCGTTAAAAATTCAGTAGACTCCAAGTAAGTAAATATGGGTCAATAAAATTAATTTAGACTGAGTACGGAAATGTGAATAGGTGAAATCCAAAAAGGAATGCATCAAAGTGATTAACGATAGTTCAA